TCTTGTTGCTGGGACAAAATACCCAACACGCAAAAGTAAGGAATGGAAGGTTTATTTCGCTCATAGTTTGTGGAGGTTTCAGTCCATAACCAGCTGGCTCCAAGGCAGAGTGGCACATGGCAGTATGTTGGGACTCACTGGTCTCTTGGTGTACTGCAGGTCGGGGGGAACACGATGGCAGGTATGAGGAAAAGACAGCCAAGACAAGAGCTGGGTCAGGTGGTGGTCTGTGTGGCAAAGGACCCAAAGACCAACAGTAGGGGCGTTTAGTAATGCACTATCAGGAGACACAAGGTTGCCCAGCGACTAGTGGTTGAAATTGCCCAAGCAGGATGTTTTTCTCAGGACTGAGGAAGTTTGCCTACTTAGGCAGTGAGGCCTTGTCCTGCCCTCCCACATGGGATCAACTTTCAGTTTCAGCAGCTCCCAACAGCAGAGGGCAGCAGATCTTGCCAATGGAAATCAGTGAACTAGCAAGAGCACAAAGGGAGGAGCAGCGGTAGCCAGCAAGCCTCTCTCTGCTACCAGCCCCAGGGTGGGTGTAGCTCTCACACCCATAATCCCAGCGCTGGATCATGAATTAATCACAAACTCTAGAAGTCGGCCCCATGACTGCATGAGGCTTTGGAGGACATCTAGATATAAACCATAACAATATCTATTTGAGAAATACAAGAAATTCAAATAATTAACTTCGAAAGTCTCACAACTCGCTAAAATATTATCCTTGGAATTTAAATAAAAGCAATACTATTTTTCTAGAAATTTCATCAGCAACATAGTGACTGAGGAAAAGCCTTATGTAATGAGCTTTATTGCAATAGACAGTGCCACTGGGTAGTCAATGGATGCTATCTGAGCAGAAAAATAGTTGGCAGAGAAACTACTAACACATTCTGAATCTAATCCTCCCTCAATCCAGCTGGAACTTGCCAAAGCTAGCTGTGGAATATCACAGAAATTTTCCATTCAAAAGACATAAAAACCGTTATCACAAATCCATTGTTCGAGTCTGCCCCCATTCTTTTCAGAATCTGGAGTCATACTAAAATTTCGTGGCATGAGGCTGACTGAAAAGCATGCTGTATGTTTTAAACTCGATTTTTTAAATGCCTTGGCTACATTAGAGAAATACCTCGGTTATCTGGTTCTCTACCAATTTTCATCTTTTGCAATGCATTTTTTGGGGGGAGGGGGGACCAGGGATTGAACTCAGGCCCTTGTGCTTGCCGGGGAAGCATTTATTCTACTGAGCTATCTCCCCAGGCCCTGCAATGCATTTCTTATTCACACTCTACTTACCCCATTCTGACTTTTTCAATGACACTAAAACCAGCCAAGGGGCGGTTCAGATAGCTCAGTGGATTAAAGTGCCTGGTTAGGCAGACACAGGAACCAGGGTTCAATCCCCATTGAGACTGGGTGTGGTGGCACACACCTGTAATCCCAGTGCTGGGGATGCTGAAAACAGGAGGACCGCTGCAAGTCTCAGCTGCATAGTGAGACCCTGCAAACAACCAAATACATTTAAAAGGGGGGGGGGGCTGGGGTTGTGCCAGGCATGGTGATTAGTGCTGTAATCCCAGCACTTGGGAGGCTGATGTAGAACTGTTGCTGTGAGTTAAGACCAACTTGAAAAACAAAATGAGGGACAGAAAACATAATTCCTTCAAAAGCAGTTGAGGGGCTGGGGAGATAACTCTGAGGTCTAATGCCTGCCTGGCAAACACAAGGACTGGAATTTGATCTCCGGTACCATGTGCCATGCTGGCCACTGAACAGGGCGTGGTGGTGATACAGGGGAAATGAAACTCCCGACCTGCAAGGTACCTGGGATGAATCTGTGTTCTCTAAAACTGAAGAATGAATTTTAGAAACAAACAGGGGTTAAGAGCAGAAAATTTATTGGGGAAAGAAAGCTCCTGTCCTAGAAAGGGAGAGAAGGGGGTCCGAGCAGTTTGTCCCTGGGAAGTTGTCTCTTCCAAGGACTTTTATAGAGTGAAACCATGGGGAGAAGCAGGTCTAAGGTAGAGAAAATGAGAACTCGCTTAGGTGGGCATGAGGTGGGACAAAACTATGGCCAACCAATGAGATTACAAGCACCATTGCTCAGGTAAAATTGATTAAGTCCAGGACCAAATGGGGAAGTGAGTCACCTAGCAAGCGGGCACAAATATAGAACAGGAGCTGTCCAGTAGCCAGCCGTAGCAGTTGGATTAGTGACTCTTCCTGAAAGTGATGATCAATACTGGAAGCTTGTCTTTAGGAAGGTCAGCATTTGTTCCATCTTTGGTCTCTAGGTCTGGCCCAGGGCAGGAGCATCCTGTCTCTCAGTTACAACCTATCTTGTCTCCTTGAGGGCCTGGCCCTGTCTGACTGCCTATACTATTTCTATCGAATTTACCTGCCTACAACAGTGGCGCACACCTGTAATCGCAGCGCTTGGGAGGCTAAGACAGGAGGGTCACTATGAGTACAAACTGCATAGAGAGATCTCTACCAAATAAGTAAAAGATTTTTTAAAAGTTACCAAAAAAAAAGCAGTTGAGGAAACTAGCCCAGTGACTAGGGAGGAAGGAAGACTAACAATGTATTATCATGACTTTGTGTACGCATTTCACAGATTTGGGAGCCCAGCCTGGTCTGCAGTCAGTGCTGGGTGACTTTGGATCTTGGCTCAGCCCATCACGTGTGTAGGACCCTTGAAGTTTATCACCTGATTTTTTTTTTTTTTTTCCGGAATGGGATTGAACTCAGGCTCTTGTGCTTGCCAAGGAAGCGCTTATTCCACTGAGCCATCTCCCTAGCTTGAAGTTTGTTATACTGTTCTGTTTTCATTTGAAAATGTCCTTTGAACATTAAAAGACATGGATGTA